GGGGCACTGAGAAAGACCTTCTTCTCTCCAAACACGGATGTGTGTAACCAGCATCTACCCAAATGCTCCCACAGCAGCCATGTGCAGTGTGGTCACTGCCACACCTACTGCACACAGGTATCCACATCCCAACACCTCCTAGCACGTGAAGGCTAAAGAATACATGGAAACTGGGAGTGAATTTGCTGCTTATTCCTAGAGGAACTCCAGGTAGAAGACAGCAGGGGCTGAGCTGTGTGGACACACTATCAGTCCCCACTCCCTATCTCTGCACAGGCAGTGTGTCAGCCCAGCCTGCTTCACCTCCACTCAGACAGGCCAAAAAATGACTCTCCCTTGCCATGGCTGATGCCAGTGTTGCTCTGGGTTAGGCTGGCACACAAAACTTTGAAAGATGGATCTGTTGGGTTCAAACATGCCATGCTGTGTTCAGTTCACTATCATAAAATTCCACAGTGACTTGACACAGATACTACTGGTCTAAAAAGCTCCAGAGACCTTGGCTACTTTCAATACCTGCATCTACTGTTGCATATCTGAGCATGCTTGAGGTGTTTAAATAATCTGTTGTCCTATTTGAGGTCAAAAGAGTTTCACTGATCTCTGAGGTGACCTTAACCAAAACAACACACTGTCAGATGTCTCAGCTGACTTAGCTCAGAGGGATACCTTAAGAAGTCACTAATGAACATTTCAGGCACCCTACAGTGATCATATCAGGGTTTATCTCAGCTCCATTTTTTAAAAAAGCACCCACAAACTCCATGTACTCTGTCTTTGCTTTAAATAAATTTTGCCTATATCACACGTGGCACAGAATCCAGTTACTGGGGGATACTCTACAAATACAGGTTCTTGCAGAGCTGGAGAAATTAAAAGTGCATTTCCAGAATTCCCACTGTCCTTTAGTGAGGATCAAGCCCCACATCAGCTCACTTTCCCAGACGTTCTGCACTCGGGTGCAATTTTTCAGGCTCTGTGCTATTTTACTTTATTTGCAAATAAACTGATGCCAAGACACACAGCAACACTGCATTTCATGATGTATTTTATGCCTTCAGCTTAACTAGTTAAATGTGATTTCAGCAAGAAAACATAAACCCCATCTTTTCAGTTTGCTGGTGTCTTTAATGTATTTTTGTTAGGAAAATGTTGTATATGCACATTAGCACAATAGGTGACAAACCCAACTCTGGATGGTTTGGATGTTTTATTCGCAAGCACGTGCAGTGTTAACCCCTGCTAGACAGTGTAATGAGCCCAGGGAATGGTTTCGTAGCTCCTGTGGCACCTGCTCTATTTTGGTAAGGACAAGGAACACCTCTTTGCACAATGAGTTCATCTCTGCAATACGCTGTGAGCAGAGGAAAACCTGGTACTGCCCGTCAGGGGATGAAATGAGCCGCAGCAGCTGCGGCCACGTGGTGGCAAAAGGCAGGCAATGAGCTGTCTGCACTGCTCTGATACACAAACATGACTTGTCACGGGTGAGGCCCTCCTGCTGGGAGCTCCATGCTGCATCATATACGTGTCATGTTGTGTTAGGCTGGACACAAACAGCACCAGGGAGTCACAGGGCAGCAGTGCTCCCAGGAGAGCTGTGGCTCTACCAGCTCCTCGTGACCTGATCTACTAGGGAACCCCAAGAGAAGAGTCATCAGAATTGTAACCAGCTACAGTAAAAAGAGCAACTTGTTTTTAGCTTTTTGAATGGTTAAGGTTGGAAGGGACCTTAATGATCATTAGGTTCCAACCTCCCTGCTATGAGCAGGGACACCTCCCACCAGACCAGGCTGCACAAGGTATCCACATCCCAACACCTCCTAGCACGTGAAGGCTAAAGAATACATGGAAACTGGGAGTGAATTTGCTGCTTATTCCTAGAGGAACTCCAGGTAGAAGACAGCAGGGGCTGAGCTGTGTGGACACACTATCAGTCCCCACTCCCTATCTCTGCACAGGCAGTGTGTCAGCCCAGCCTGCTTCACCTCCACTCAGACAGGCCAAAAAATGACTCTCCCTTGCCATGGCTGATGCCAGTGTTGCTCTGGGTTAGGCTGGCACACAAAACTTTGAAAGATGGATCTGTTGGGTTCAAACATGCCATGCTGTGTTCAGTTCACTATCATAAAATTCCACAGTGACTTGACACAGATACTACTGGTCTAAAAAGCTCCAGAGACCTTGGCTACTTTCAATACCTGCATCTACTGTTGCATATCTGAGCATGCTTGAGGTGTTTAAATAATCTGTTGTCCTATTTGAGGTCAAAAGAGTTTCACTGATCTCTGAGGTGACCTTAACCAAAACAACACACTGTCAGATGTCTCAGCTGACTTAGCTCAGAGGGATACCTTAAGAAGTCACTAATGAACATTTCAGGCACCCTACAGTGATCATATCAGGGTTTATCTCAGCTCCATTTTTTAAAAAAGCACCCACAAACTCCATGTACTCTGTCTTTGCTTTAAATAAATTTTGCCTATATCACACGTGGCACAGAATCCAGTTACTGGGGGATACTCTACAAATACAGGTTCTTGCAGAGCTGGAGAAATTAAAAGTGCATTTCCAGAATTCCCACTGTCCTTTAGTGAGGATCAAGCCCCACATCAGCTCACTTTCCCAGACGTTCTGCACTCGGGTGCAATTTTTCAGGCTCTGTGCTATTTTACTTTATTTGCAAATAAACTGATGCCAAGACACACAGCAACACTGCATTTCATGATGTATTTTATGCCTTCAGCTTAACTAGTTAAATGTGATTTCAGCAAGAAAACATAAACCCCATCTTTTCAGTTTGCTGGTGTCTTTAATGTATTTTTGTTAGGAAAATGTTGTATATGCACATTAGCACAATAGGTGACAAACCCAACTCTGGATGGTTTGGATGTTTTATTCGGAAGCACGTGCAGTGTTAACCCCTGCTAGACAGTGTAATGAGCCCAGGGAATGGTTTCGTAGCTCCTGTGGCACCTGCTCTATTTTGGTAAGGACAAGGAACACCTCTTTGCACAATGAGTTCATCTCTGCAATACGCTGTGAGCAGAGGAAAACCTGGTACTGCCCGTCAGGGGATGAAATGAGCCGCAGCAGCTGCGGCCACGTGGTGGCAAAAGGCAGGCAATGAGCTGTCTGCACTGCTCTGATACACAAACATGACTTGTCACGGGTGAGGCCCTCCTGCTGGGAGCTCCATGCTGCATCATATGTATGTCATGTTGTGTTAGGCTGGACACAAACAGCACCAGGGAGTCACAGGGCAGCAGTGCTCCCAGGAGAGCTGTGGCTCTACCAGCTCCTCGTGACCTGATCTACTAGGGAACCCCAAGAGAAGAGTCATCAGAATTGTAACCAGCTACAGTAAAAAGAGCAACTTGTTTTTAGCTTTTTGAATGGTTAAGGTTGGAAGGGACCTTAATGATCATTAGGTTCCAACCTCCCTGCTATGAGCAGGGACACCTCCCACCAGACCAGGCTGCACAAGCCTCAGCCAACCTGGCCTTGAACACCTCCAGGGATGGGGCAGCCACAGTCTTCCTGGGCAACCTATTCCAGTGCCTTACTACTCTCATGATGTATCACTGCCCTCTCTGGTGAAAAGTCTCTCCTCATCTTTCATGTAGGCTCCTTTCAGGTACTGAAAGGCCACTATAAGGTGTCCCTGAAGCCTTCTCTTCTCCAGGCTGAACAACCCCAGCTCTCTCAGCCTGTCTTCATAGCAGAGCTGCTCCAGCCCTCTGATCATCTCTGTGGCCCTTCTCTGGATCCTATGATTAGGACTTACCTAAATACCTTATAACTGTGCTTCTTGTATCTATTACTTGCTCCTATTGCTCTACCAGGCTCAGTAATGAGTTCTTGATTTTCTTCTTTAAATGAACCACCTCATGTCACAGTTTCAACAAGACTAAGAGATTTAGGATGGTGAAACACTGCAACAGGTTGCCCAGAGAGACTGTAGATGCCCCATCTGGAAAAAGTCCGGGTCAGGTTGGACAGGGTGTAGCAACCTGATCTAGTTGAAGATGTCCCTGCTCACTGCAGGGGGGGTTGGGCTAGATGACCTCTGAAGGTCCCAAACCATTCATGATTCTAGGATGCAAAGGCAAGCCACCCCAAAGCACCTTCTCCCTGGTGACTGTGTGAGCACTATTTCTTTGGCCACTTGAGTGCCACCAGACCAAAGGCTGCCCTTAGCCACCCCGTGCAGGGCAGGTGGTCCAGGCTGGCTGTTACCCTGCAGTGATGTCCTTGTGGAGATGAATGTTAAACCTCATTTCCAAAAGGAGCCTAAGCACTCAGGGTGCAAGTCACCACAGGAAGCAAATAAGTTGCAATCTTCTGAGCACTAACCTAATTTTAGAAGGAAGGCTGCACCTCTTGTGCTGGCTGGAATGGTGGAAAGTTTGACCTCTCATCTTGCTCTGTATTCTGTAATATGTTTGCTAAGATCAAAAGCTTCACAAACTAATAAGCACAGGTTTAATAATCTACATGTCTCAGAGATTTCAGCCTCTGAAGCACATATGCCTTTGGACACCACAGATAAATCCCAGTTAGGAATGACTGCCACTGCCCACAGGACAGGTGGCATTTTAAGAAACCCATATATAATAATTCACTAACTGAGCAGTGTTGTAAAACCACATGGAGCAACACATGATGCCACGATGAAGTTTCACTGCACTTTCTGATTTTTTTGGATCTAAAATTACTAGTTGCCCATACCTAATAAGTGCTTTGCTTTCTCCTCTGCTTTGAACTCATCCCTTCTGGCTGATACCTGGCTGCATCAGTGAGTGACAGTTGCCTTCAGTTAAGACCCACATAATTGCCTCTCTGGTATAACACACTGAGCACTCCTGCCAATCCGTTGCCAACATCCCTCTCCTTCCCCCCACGCCCGCTCGCTCCTTTTCCAGAAAGGCACAAAACCACCAACAGCGCAGACATTCCTGTCACCACCCGGGTCTCCTCTCCCGCCACGCAGCCCTTACCAATCATCGGGGACTCGATGAAGCTCCAGGAGTTGGTCTGTGGGATGTAGGACTGCAGGACCCCCGCGGCTCGGCCGGCTTCGTTCACCCCTCCGAAGACGTAGATCTTGCCGCCGCAGACGGTGGCGGCGGCCGAGTGCACGGGCTTGGGCAGAGGAGCGATGGTCTCCCACTGGTTGGTTATCGTGTCGTACCTAAGGGGGGGATGCAACCGGAGTCAGCCCAGGGGGTGCAGCCTTGGGCAGGGTGGGCAGGCAAGGAAAGCAGGCTGGGGTATCAACAGAAAGGCAGCTTGACAAGCAGAAGGAAAAAAAGAGAGGTGAAAACGCACTCCCTAGCACCCTGCAAATTCAGCCACTCGATGGAACAGCGCGATTAATGCCTCTTCTGAGCTTTTAAAAGGTTGAGAAAAAGCCCAGAGAAAGCCGATTCTATTTTCTGTATATGCTTCTCCAATCTCATTGTAGTCCAAGCTAAAGAAACTCGGGACACCTTTGTTGGGATGTCTGCCACTAATTCATTTCTATTAATGAGTATACAGTGAGATTATCCTTGCATATCAGTGCGGTGATATCCAATGGCAACCGCAGGCAGGCAACTGTGAATACACTTCAGTTGTTCAGCTTCTGGAACACTTCTCACCTGCAACATAATGCAACACAATAGCTCTTTTTAGCCTAGTTAACTGACCAGGGATGCACATTTTGTGCCAAGAGGAAGTTGCTTCCATTTAATTTCCATTCTGCAGACCCAACTCCTGTGCTTCTCTGCAAGAAGCTGCCCATGTTAACGCTGGAATAAGATTTCACCATCGCAACCGTATTTGACATGAAGCAAACAGAAGAGAGTATTCATGAAAGTGCTAAATTAGTTTTAAGGTCATCAATATCTGATTTAATTAAGCCATTGACCATAAGGGATGTGCAGTTAATAATCCATGGATGAAGATTCATTTTAGACAATGTCACAAGTACAGACATGATTTTTTTTTTTTTTTAAAAAGATAATGTGGCAGGGATCCAAATAGCTGCTCTAAAATGAGTCTTGGAGTCAGTGGAAAAATAATGTGATTTTTAGGCTTCTATATTTCCATTTAATGGCACCTTCAGTCAAATAGGAGTTTCCTGTATAGTGATTATACAGAACTGTTGACCGCAAGAACAGAAGCCCTCAGCACCCAGCTCTTAATATTAGTGATATACAATATGCAAACATGAAATGAATCCATGGCCATGAACCCACCTGTAAAAAATGATTCAGTGGCAGGGGAATTCTCCCCTTCTGATACGTCCCTCAAATTCAAACTGCCCAAACTTGGGAAAAATAAAAGGGAAAAAAGATACAAATGGTGGAAACAGCACAAAATAATGTGCCTAATGAAAAGGCATTAATGAGTTTCCAAGTAATATGACTCAAAGTAATTAACAGTCTCATAAAACTGAAGCAAAAGGGAGGCAAACTTTAACTAAAAAAAATATTAGGGAAGTCCCTTTTAATGAGCATGGAGAACTGCCTTGTACAATGCTTTAAATTAGTTACTGAGAAATTTAATTAATCTACAACAAAGTGATCAAAGGGGAGAAATATAACGAGATTAAACAACATGGTGCTGGGAGCAATCAAGGCAACTGACACACCCATACTGGGCTGATTTTTACCATTTGGTATCAAACCCACCTGCAGATGGATTTTGACTGCCCAAGCAGCTCCTCCAGGTGAGATACCTTATGCTGCAGCTCCTGCATTTGCCCAGAGCCCTCAGAGCAGCATCACACCTATCCTAGCTGGTATGTAAAAATGTTGTATTATATAAAGTTTCCTACAGTGCTGTTGGGTTACACTTTGCTAACTATAGTAATATGGGGCTTTGTAATTTTGTTATTGATGTCTTATTTTATCATAAAAGCTGGTTAAGACATTGGTTACGTTTGGTTAGAAACTGGGCAAAGAAATAGAGCTGGGAAGAACTGATCTAATGTGCTTTTTCTAGTTCCTTGGCTTATACGTGTCACCTAAAACATACTGTCTCACACCAACCACTCTGACTCAGCACCACTGTTAGTCCAACCTTCAAGGTTTGTGGCCAAAGTGGTTTGAGATGGGAGAGTGAGCAGCTGAGCTGTCTTTCTCAGTGCTGGCAGAACCACCTGGCAGACCACAGTTCCCAAGATCAGTATGTTCCTGCCAAAGACTTTCTGATCATCCCAAGATGTTTTTGTGAAGGAAAGGTTATCCCCTTCACATTTTCTAGGGGGTGGGTGTGGTTGAGGACCACATATTTAGGAATACAGAAGAAAGGTTCAAATTACAAGACAATAGGTCCCTTTTCTGGATGAATTTCACTATCGGGACCTCAGGTCCTCCAGAAGCCCATTTTTCCCTGCTCTCTGTTTATGCTACATGCTGACATAACTGTTTTTTCTGTCTTTTAGCCTTCATCTGCTACCAGGAAACCAGAATTAATCTGCTGAAAGACAAAGGCTGCAAATCTACTGGATAGAACTGCAAATGGGGCAGCTAAAAAACCCCCACTCTTGTCTTGAGGGTCATTTGGTTCAAAAACTCCGTGAACTATTAAGCAGATGGAACTTAGTTCCTGTCCATCTAACACAGGCATCTAACATGGGTTTCACACAGGCTGGTCTGTGAAGCAAACCTGTTAAGTAAGTGCCTAACTTAACCCTGGGGCTGAAGAAGACCAATTGGTGCCTTTGAGGCCTCCTAATATTACAGTCATAGAATGGTTTGGGTTGGAAGAGACCTTAAACATCATTTAGTTCCAACCCCCCTGACGTGGACAGGGACACCTCCCATTAGACCAGGTTGCTCAATGCCCCACACCTGTTCCTCAAGTTCCTCCATCCCCTGGGAATTTATTCCTCTGGTTCTTTCCCTCTTCACAAAATTGTAGACCTGATTTCTAGTCTCTGTTTTGCTTCAGCTCCCACCCATCAGAAAGCAAGGAGGTTTATTTCTGTTGTATTATAAAGCTGTTTGGTATCAAATATCTCTCTTTCACATAGGGACTTGTGGAAAATAATAAAGTCACCTCTTCAGCTTCTGTGGGATCAACTAAGTAGTCTAAGCTCCTTAAGTCTCCCATGGCGAAGCAGGTTTCTATCATTTTGGTCGATCTCAAGTCAGCTCTTAATGTGTTCACACAAGGATTTGCACTAGATTAACTAAATTGGTTTCAAAATGAATGAAGTTGAATCTTTGTAACCTTCCAGGACAGGAAATAAGCACCTGCTTTGCCCCTCTGCCCCATGGCCTTTGCATCTGTTGCACTGCTGTCTCTTCAGTGCCACTAGTGCTAGTGGGGGTTCCCAGATGCCTTCAACACCCACCCGTTCTGCACATGGGCCAGAGGAGAGGGAGCTGATTTAAAGAATCATCACTTTGATCTCCTTCCATTAGTTAAGCTTTGCATTTGATTCCCCTGTTTGAAACCGTAGATGGAGACTTACTGGGAGCTGGCTTCAAGCCAAGCAAAGGTTTTTCTTCCCTGTCCTCCACTGCTCCCTCCAGTCCTGGTGTGTCCGTGCCTGTCCTTGGCTATGGGCCTACCAAACCTGTCCAATCTGCTGAACTTGAAACTTCAAGGACATCTCCTTTCACGTGACTGGCTCCTGGTTTTGCAGTCCCTGAACACGACAGGCTCACGTGTGGTTTCACACGGATGCCCTTGCACGCCTTCCTCTGTCCCCAGAGCTGTCCCTGCAACCTCACAGTCCATGGCCCTGCAGTGCTCCAGACATCAGGCTTTCCAGGCGTGCAGGATGTGTCTGTCCCTGCCTGTCATTCATGTGCACTGAGCACTGGACCCTTGTGCAGTCACTATCCTCTCCTTTATGTATTATTTATACATCCGCAATATGGCAAATGATCTGAGTCCAGCGGAAAATACAGCCCAGGCTGGAGGAGAACACATGCATAAATCACCTTGCTGGTTTTCACAGTTCCCTACTCTCAGGGTTTAATCTGTAGGCCTGATCTTCTTCTTACTTCACTCATTTCACTCAAGGCCTCCTTTCTTGCTCTTTCCCTACCACCTCCGGATTAACAGCAGAAACCCCTTCATTTCAAGCTGTGCCATTTCCTTTGCAGACTTCTTGACTTTTGATCTCTTCAGCACCTATAACCAGTATTTTTTTTCCTCTTCAATCTCTCAATTTCTCTCCTTCTAGTTTAAACAGCTGTATGAATATCTCAATTTATTCACATTATAAAATCCTTACATCACGATCAGTTGCTTACAGACATGCACCCTCCAGTTTCTTCTACATTATATCATTCTGTTTGCAGGAAAGCTGCTATTTAAAATAAAGCTGCACAGTGTCACACTAATCTACCCTTCAGATGAATCACATGTTGTTTAAAATCACATTAATGGATTACTATTTTTTTGCCTTTTTTATTTTCTTCTGACTGCTTTGAGGAGCTTAAGAAACTATCCTTGGAGAAGGCTATAAATTTAATTTTCTTAAGATATCAATAAAACAGTAGGTTCTAAAGCTTATAATGTTACTCTTTGCACTGAATTTTTTAGACTGTCTTCCCAGTACACACTACCCACCTGAAATAATCTCCTGATTTTAGACAACCCTATTGTAAAAGTGCTGTCAGGTCAAGGGGATTCATCTTCTTCTGTCCTTCAAACACATAACAACCACAAAGTACCCACATTTCCACACGTTTAGTCACATACATTGTCTTGTCAGCACACGCAGCCTTCCCGGCTCCCAAATTGCATGCATTACAGGGCCCATCCATTATCTAAAAACCTAGTTTGTGGATCCACTTCATTTCGCCGCCTCCCAACTCAACTCATATCTCAGAAGAAGACAGAAAGTGTAATACCCTCTCGCCTCACACCTCATGACTCACTCCCTGTCACACAGCAACTTGCCAGAGGGGCTTGATGGAGAACTGCAGTTGCACCGTTATTTCCCTAAACACTCATTCCAAAAACATAACTCTCCCTGAACACATACCCATGTACAGCCACAAAAATGGACTTATAACTCAGTCCCTCTGGCACATGCATATTGTTTTAACTTGAGTAATGGATGACTCCTGCTCGTCTGCTTGTGACAGTCCTGCAGTATTATCTATCGAGTTGGAATCTTTGCTGCCTCTTTACAAACAAACGGCAGAGAAAGGGTAAAAAAACCTCAGCTGTATTGAAGTTGATGGGAAAACACCCACTGATTTAAGTGGCACCAGAATTTCTGGATGAGGCTGCACCCTTCATAACTGAAAGCATGGAGAGAAAAACACAGGAGCTGATGCCATAAATCATGAGGAGTCCAGCAGTCCTTACTCGCTCTAATGCTTTCTAATAGTGCAGCAGATGCAGTCAGGTGGTAGCATGTATAGCTATGATGCTCTGACATCTGTTTTAAAAAAACCCCAAAAATGCAATAAAACCTACTTTGCAAGATTTTAACCATTTAGAATTAACTACCCCAAGAATCCAAGGAAAAACAGGTGGGGAACAAGAAAGAAACTGGGAGACAATGTGATTTTCTCTGTCTTCAAGGACCACAGTGGTGAGGCACCCTGCAGCCTCCTTGCTCTGGGGCTGCTCACTGGCCAGGTCAGGACAGGTCACTTTAGACTGGAGATGTGCCCTCCACCATGCCAGGAAAAACACAGTGAAACCTGGCCAAAGCTGGGCATGGTCACCCTTGAGCTAACTGAGTAAGGAGAAAGCAAAATGTGGTAGGGAA